ATGAATAATGACCTTTCAGTCAATAGAGCATAAGGATTTCAACTTTTTATAAAGGAAGTTTTACTAGAGGATTAAAATGCTCACTTATAGTCTTTCTTAGCTCAACACTGGGATTTGTCCATTTTTGTCATGTGGGAGGGGAGCTTACTAGTAACCATAGAATTTCACCTTTCAGGAATTCTGCAAATAAACTATTGAATTTGCATTACTATAGATAGATAAAAATTCTGATATGGTTGCTTTTAAGTTATACAGTTTAGACCACCCAATTACAAAATCATTATTTAATTTGAAAGGTTATGGCTTCAGGAAACCTTTCCATTTAATTTGGAGGAACTTATTTCATATTCTGAGGTTGCTCAGCATGATGGTATCTAAGACACATGAACTTATACACAGTTTTTGTTTTGGTGAAGGTTTCAAAAACAGAAAGCCATTTACATATTATCCTATATATACGCACACAAAGATGAAAAACAAAAAACCCAGACTGGAACGGAGGCATGTGAATTAAACACAAGTTCATGATGATGAAACATTTCCCCAACATTCAGAAAACCTGTTCCCAAATGCAGAGGATAAAATACCATGGTATGAAATGCTTTTTTTTTTTTTTTTTCCCAATAAGGAAGCAACTACAGAAAAGCTTTTATTTGTTCAAAGTAACCAGTGCTATTGGGATGCAACCCCCCCCAATTCCCCAATACTACTTTCAAAACAAACATATCAAACTTGATTTTTCCATTAGAATGCAGTTCTTTCTCCACACTAAGTAAATCAAAATCCAAGACCCAGATTTTATATATATATATAAATATATATAAAAAAACAATGCAAACAATTATTGAGCTTCATCTTCTGGACAAGAATGCCAAGTTAGTCTCTCTTCATAAAAAGCAATTACAATTTGAGGACACTTCATATTTGCTTCTTTTGCCAGTACCAAGTCTGCCTCATCTGAATCTTTCCTATTGTGAGAAAAGAGAAAACAAAAAAACTCAGTTAAAAGCCTAAATTCTTTGTCAACTGAGAACCATTCACTTTTAAAAAAATTAAATGAAAAGATATTTAAGTGCTTCAGGAGGGTTTTATGGTACTTACGGCTATGTTCCAATAAATATCATTTTCCAAAGTAGGCCGCAGTTTGCTGACCCTTGCTTTAAACACTAGCAAAAATAACTATAATCTTTCTAGCATGTAACTATTCTATATGTAGCAACAGAAAAAAACTATAAAACTTTTCCTAGATTCAGCCTCACAAATTATTTAAAAACATAACTATCACCTGCACACATACCATTTCATGAGAAACATCAACTCTCCACTGCTGTCTGTGGCACCAATTATTCGTTCAGGATCAAGACCTCTGGCAAAGCCTCTTGGTTTATCAGCCTATTTAGAAAAGGTTAAGTGATTATTTCCTTACATACATATTTCTACACATTCTTTTTATAGGGCAAACTAAGACTATTAACTTCTAGTTAGTTTTCATGATATATAACTTTTAAATAAGAATCCTAAAATAGTAAAACAGAAACTACTAGAACTAGAGCAGATATATCTGGCACTAAAACACAGTTCTTTCACTTTACAAGCAAAGAAAGTGAATCTGGATGTCTGATATCCAAGGTATAAATGTTTACAATTTCTAAAAATATTCTGTATCAAAGTCAAGAAACCTGGCAACTTTTTTCATCCCAAGACCTTAAGGGCAGAACTATGTGGGAATACAGGAAAAAAGATCCTTTTATTTCTGGTAACAGCAATTTTTAACTTTCAAAAATGAGTATTTCACATTACTTCTAAACTTTAATGTAAATCACCCACATATTTTTTAAGCATAAAGAGAAATAATAAAAACCTTGAAACTCCAATCAATTAGTCCAGATTGTAGGAAATCTTAGTTCCCTTAGTATAAATGAGAGGTCTGAGAACCCTTAGGGATTTGAGACTTTTTTGGGAGGGAGTTTTGCCAGTTCCCTCTTCTCATATATCTGCGAGTGGATTCTTCATATACTTCCACTAAGATAACACCCTTTAGTATCAAATGCAGAAACAGGGCTGTCTTTTGTTTAAGCCACACACTGAAGAGATGTGAAAAAAGTAACTTTCCATAAATCTTTTGGTTATTTTTAACAAAAAGTTAATGTTTAACACGTAATAGGTTTTCTTTCTTTCGGGTTTTTTCTTTCTTTTTTTTTTTTTTTTTGAGACTTTTGCTATAGAGCCAGTCACCTGAGAGACACACACACAGAAAGTGAGAAATCACTCCCCAGAGGGGATAGCTAAGCCACAATCCCTTCACCTTTCTCCTTTAGGATTTTTAGGGAACGCACACACATGCACCCAGAGTGAGTTTCAAGCTGCCGGGTGAGGGACGCGAACTACGTTCAGCCAGCCACATGGGAGTCTAGTGCCTTAACCACTATGCCACCTGTTGGCCTGCAATAGGTCTATCATTATTTTTAATACACAATACCTTAGAAATGAGTTTTAATTTGTAATATAATTGTTATAACCCTTATTAACAAAATCTCCATGAGATCTTCAACAATTTTCTAAAGTGTAAAGGGATCCCTGGACTAAAAATGGTTGGAAACTACTGTATTGATAAATCCTTTAATCCTACCAATTTTATTGACACATCAATGTGCCAGGCTCTTAAGACTGCCTAGATTAGGATATTGGCTCTACTGCTTATGAGTTGTGTTAACTTATTTTGGTTCAGGTTCATTATCTACAGAACAGAACTACCAAAATTATAGCCGAGCTTTCATTTTTCTCATCTGTGAAATGGAGAAAACACCTACAACCTTAACAGATTTGCTGTGAATATTTAATGGCCAATCTGTAAAGCTCCTGGCACCTTGTTTAAACGATGGCATTTCAAATCCAAGTACAATCTGTTTTTGAGGGTAGAAGTTACCTGATTTGCCCAAAGCCACTAAACATCAGTGAAGCCAAGACTAAAGTACATGTGTAATGTATGAACCAAATGTTTCAATTTATGCTGATAAAAAAAAAAAAAAAACCATAAACATTAACTGAACATTTTCACAGTGTAAGTTAAATTATATCAACTATTAAGTATTTACAAAATCCTTTTTTTTCTTTAAGAGAGATTTTTGCTATAGGGTGCATGCGTTTGCCAGAGACAGAAGACAGAAAGAGAGAAATCACCCCGAAGGGGATAGCCAAGCTGTAATCCCTTTTCCACCAGTCTCCTCTCATGATTTTGGGCATGCACATGTACCCAGTGTGAGTTTTAAGCTGCTGTATCCATGACGTGAACCACAGTCAGCCATGTGGGAGTCCAGTGATATAACCGCTATGCCACATGCTGGCCCCTAACAAAAAAACGTAATTTTTATAGTATCTGATTTTTAAAAAGTATCTTAAGAATATTTTAAAACCAAGTCATTAACTCACAAAAAGCCAATCTGGTGGGCAATGTTTTATACTTACAGCATCTCTCTTCTTCTTTGATTTGCTATCATCAGATTCACTGTCAGATAAAGATTTTCTCTTTGTACCATCTTTCTCTTTACCAGCTTTTTGAGAATTAAGAAATGCTTCAATTAACTCTGGACAATCTAAATTTTCTTCTGGTTCCCAAGTATTGTCAGCACTGCGTAGTAAAAAAACACGTTAATTTGATTAAATATGGCTCATTACCCATCACCTGCTCCCATTTTTTTTTTTTAAGAGGTTTTTACTATAGGACATGTGCACTCACCAGAAAGAGACAGACAGCGAGAAATCACCTCCCGGGGGGATGGCCACACCGGCAATCCCTTCTCCTCTTGGGATCTTAGGCACACATGCACACGCTCCCGGCATGAGTTTAAGCCACCAGGTCTGGGACTCGAACTGTGGTTGACTACATGGGAGTCTAGCAACATAGCCATTATGCCAACTGCTGGTCCCCCCCCCCATTCTTTTGAAAGAATCTGTTGAGGTTTCCTTGTGTGTCTGCTTTCACAGCTCAAGTGGGCAGTCTGCTCTTTTATCTCCAGGTTAACTGAATCTGACTAACCAAGAAATTGGTGCTAACATTTCTCTAAGTTCCATAGACAACCCATTTCAAAATATCTCTGGACTTTTAAAAATGTAGGTCTCTGTATTTCTACTCTCAATTACACAGTGTCATACTATGCCTAGGGTTGAAATCTCCAATACTTTTTTTCTTTTCTTTTTTTTTTTGGAGAGTTTTTTTCGCTATAGGGCATGTGCACTTGCCAGACAGAGAGAGACATAGAGACAGAAAGCGAGAAATCACCCCCCAGGGAGGATGATCGCGCCACAATCCCTTCTCCTCCATTCTCCTCTCGGATCTTGGGCACGCACACACAGGTGCCCAGCGTGAGTTCTAAGTCACTGGGTCCGGGACGTGAACCGCGGTCAACCAAGTGGGAGTCCAGCGACATAGCCATTACGCTAACTGCTGATTTCCCCAAAACTTTCTTTTAAAACATAATTAAGGGGGACCAGCAGTTGGCGTAATGGCTATGTCGGTGGACACCCAGGTAGTCGACTGCGGTTCAAGTCCCAGACCCAGCAGCTTAAACTCACACTGGGCACGTATGCATGTGTGCCCAAGATCCTGAGAGAATAATGAGGAGAAGGGATTGCGGCATGGCCATCCCCCCTGGGGGGTGACTTCTCGCTTTCTCTCTTTCTGGCGAGTGCATGCACCCTATAGCAAAAACCTCTCCAAAAAAAAGAAAACAAAAACAAAAAACAAAACCCATAATTTCAAGGGCCAGCTCCGTGGTGCAGAGGTGTGGCAACCAGTGTCAATCACCAATCCAATCAGCCTAAAACATGCTAGACACATGAACAAGTGTCCATGGTCCCACAGGTTGGAGGACCGGAGAAAGGGGATCATGATCTGACCATATCCTGCAAAGTATACACATTTCTATCACTCTCATGAGTGCGTATTAATTCTATCACAAAGGGGGGGGGGAACCTTAACACATAAAATTCTGAGGCATTCTCAAATAGGACAGTATTTTAGATTTATGCTGGGTATTAAAATTAGTAATGGCACAAAGCAGGTACTGGCAAACCAAAAGCCAAACCCAGCCTTTTGTATGGCCTCCCAAAGAAGAATATTTTTCACATCTCAAAATGGTTGAGAAAAAAATGTTTAAAATGAAGCTTACGTGAAACTTGAATTTCAGGACCCATAAATGAAATATTACAGAACACAGCCATGCTCACTTGTTTAATGGATTATTTATTACTGCTTCTGGACTACATTATCATAAATGTTGTACAGAGACCCATGGCCCACAAAGTCTGAAAATATTAAGTTGTTGGGAAAGTTATAACATGTTTTTCTATGCAAAAATGTGTCATGACTTTCCAACGACCCAATAGTAAATGACACTTTAGGGAAAAAAGATGGCTGACTCCTGACAGAACAGAAGGCTGAGGTGATCAGTTCCATTATCTTTTTTTAGAAGGGTTATAAAGAAGAAAATGAATGTCAATTCACATATATGACCATTCTATACTAGTGATAACTTTGCCAGCTTTTCTCACTCTGGTCCAAAAATGCTTTACAGAAGTATATGGAATGAAACTGATCATACTAGGGTTGTTAGGAAAGGCGCTAAAAATCCCTGACATTTAACAACTTGGTTCAGTGATCTCCTGAGACCCCAAATTTGGCAATTGTAAACTAGCAGATTGGGGGGGGGGTGAGTCTCCATTCTGCAGTGTTACTTTCTTTTTGAGTTTTTTTTTGTTGTTGTTATAGGGCGCATGCGCTCACCAGGAAGAGAGACAGAAAGCGAGAAATCATCCCCCCACCGCCCAGGGGGGATGGCCACGCTGCAATCCCTTCCCCTCCATTCTCCTCTCGGGATCTTGGGCATGCATGCACACGCCACCAGCGTCAGTTGAAGCCACTGAGTCCAGGACTAGAACCATAGTTGACTACATGGGAGTCCAGTGACATAGCCATTATGCCAACTGCTGGTCCACCATTTTCTTTATAGCCTTCTATATTACTTAATACATTATAATGTACATGGTATATTCTCACAGTAGTGGCCTTAAGTCTGGGGAGAAAGGGAATTCATTAGTTCCTATTGTGATGGGTAGAATACAGGGACAGTTTTTAATACCTCATGCCTCGCCTCCCACCCCTTGCAAAGGCTCACCATTCCATTCTCCGGCAAACTGGTTAAATTGACCTTTAAGTCATTCACAGACTTTTACTATGTTTGGTTGTGCTACCTACGGGAAATTTAGTGGTAAAAACTACATTCTTATGATATCTACTTAAGCTCAACTAAGGATACTGAAGTATAAAAGGGAAATCTTCAAACTTATAAACAACTTCTAATTCTCAAATTGTTAGAATCAACTATAAAGGAATGGTAGCAGCAGTAGTAAGTAGCAGATATGGGAAGCCTAATTATTTGATTATTATATGACCATCTCTGTCATGCTCAAGACATTGTTGATCTTCGTTTATAACTGTCACTGTCCATGAAGCTTTGGTCCACTTTTATTGAGTAATTTGAGTAAATCAGAACAAGAAACATTAATGTTAAGAGTATTGGGACCAGCAAATGGCATAATGGTTATGTCATGGACTCCCACGTAGTCAACAGCAGTTCAAGTCCCAGATCTGGCAGCTTTAAACTCATACTGGGTGCATGTGCGCCCAAAATCCTGAGAAAAGGAACTGCAGCATGGCTACCCCCCCGTGGGGGTGATTTCTTGCTTTGTCTCTCTGGCAAGCTCATGTGCCCTATACCCCCTCCCCCCAAAAAAAGAGGGTATTTCGGCCTGTTACTCTCTAGACGACTAACATTATAAAAAGTGGTTATAACACCAATGTGCAACAGGGAACAGGAGCCAAAGAGCTTAAAAAATGCCCAGGCATGGAGCCAGAAGGTGGCATGAGGGTTAAGGTGCTGGATTCCCACAAGGCCAATGGTGGTTCAAGTCTTAGACCTCGAAAATAACGTGGGATGTACACGTGCATCTGTCCCAAATCCCAGGAGGGTTGTGGCATGGCCATCCCCCCTTGGGGTAATTTCTGGCTTTCCCTCTCACTGTCTAGCTCTCTCCAGTGAGCGCATACGCTCCATGGCAAAGTCTTATTTAAAGGAAAAAAAAAAAAAAAAGTCCAGGATCTACTTCTTAGATTAGCAAACAGTAAATTTAGTATAGGATCTACATTATGATAAGTACTTCTGTTTGAAACTCACTAGTTTTGTTAGCTTCAACATCCATTTTAGTTCTATCTACATAGAGAGTATTCTATTAGGTCACCAGGAAAGTTGTGATATTATTTTCTATGCAAAAATGCGCCATGACTTTCCTGATGCCCCAATAATTAGTACTAAGCGTCTTACATAGTAAATCAAACTCTTTAATTTTATAAATTTGACTCTCCAGAGTAATTAACTAGTCTTTCATCCCCTTGGTTTCAAGAGGCTGTAGAGTTGGCTCTTTTCAGACAGACCTTAAAAAAGGTAAACGGAAGTAAAGTTGTTCTGAAATTTAGAGAAATATGGGAAAAGTGAAGAAAAAAACAGGCTAAAAACAAATTTTAAAGCCACTTAAATGTAGTTACGCATATAGTAAGAAATTACTGAAGTTTCTTACTCTGTAAATCCCTTCCACTTCAAGAAATATTCCACCTTCCCATTCACTACGCGTCGGTCCAGTACTTTTTCCACCACAAATTCTTCAGGCTCTGCCTCTTCAACTTTTTTACTCTTTCCATTCTGTTTCTTACCCATTTTTTGCTAAAACAAAAACAAAAACAAAAAGAAATTAGGAAACATTCTCTCTCAAGTCTGAGTATACTGTAAATGATAAGCTTGCTTCTACTTTTGCTATCCTCATGAAAATTTTTAGTTCTATATGCCAGAGCAGGTGGCTTCTGAAAAGGTCAGTCAACAGAAAGCAAAATATATGAACACTTTATTCTGTTGACTTAGCTTAAACTTATGACTTACTACCCTTCCCCAAAATACACTACCTGGGTAATAAGTTATCCTCCCTTAGTCTTACCTCTAGGTAGTCTACAAGTTTATTAGCATTTTTACTCATTTTAACCACAAGCATTACAGAGAAGAGATGGAAATGGCAGTGACAGGTCTGAGTAAGAAAACCACCACAGACCTGCTAAAAGCATACCCCCAAAACAGCAAAATCCCCTTTCCCAACTCAAACACCAACATTAAAAGCCTCAATAGTATATAGAGAAGGTAACTGCAGAATGAAAACACGGTTCGGAATCCTGGTATGGGTTACAGGGTCAATTATTAAGATCATAAGTATGTTAAAAAAGAACAAGATTAATTTTCCATCATCGGTGAAGATTACATATATGACCTCTTGGAACAAACTTACAATACTATCACTTTGAGGGGACAAAATGCTGGATCATTTTAATTATCTCTTGCGGAAAAAAATTCTTTTTTTTTGGATATAACACTAAGAGAAGCAGGACATCAAGCCTAACCAGCTACTGAATATTTCCAGTAATTCAAATAGATTTGTTATGGGAAGATTGAAAGTGGGGGTGGGAAAAACAAAAACCCTAATGTAACGCATATTTTAAAATAATTTAATCTTTCTCCTCTGGGGATCTTGGGCACGCATGCACATGCACCCGGTGTGAGTTTAAGTCACTGAGTCCAGGACTCGAACTGCGGTCGGCTACATGGGAGTCCAGCCACATAGCCATTACGTTAACTGCTGGTCCCTAAAATCATTTCATCTTAACAAGTACTATTAATGGGCCAGCAGGTGGCATGGTAGTTAAAGGTGCTAGACTCCCACATGAGAGCCCATGGTTTGAATCCCAGACCTGGAGCTTGCTTTCTCGCTTTCTCTCACTCTGTCCTTCTCTGGTCAAAATAAATAAATGAAGTTGAATAAAATAATTTTTTTTTTTAAAGTGCTATTAAAAACAAACTCAATTGTCAATCACTAAAGCAATCCGCAAAAGGGAAAGTATGAAGGAGGAAAAAAGTAACAGCAATACCCAAGACTGCAAAAGGACATTTAAATCTATACAAGTATACAGGATGTATATGTAATACACAGATATATTTTTAAAAATCCCTTGGAATTAAAAAAAGAAAAAATTGCAGCAAACACCTGATTTTGTCAGATACCATTTCTAAGTCAGGCCTTATTCTCATTAGTCGAGACACTTGCATACAGGACCCAAGTAGCTTTTTGCCTCTATGCAGTACAAGGAAAGAATGATAGGAGGAGGAGAAAAAGAAATTGGAAAAGAAAAATCATTAGATACTGGACCAGCAGGTGGCATGTTGGTTAAGGTGCTAGACTCCCACATAGCTGACTAACAGTTCGAGTCCCAGACCTGGCGGCTTGCTTTCACACTTTCCCTCTCTCTGGTCAAATTAAGAAATAATGACAATAAATAAAGTTAAATCCAACTATTAAAACAATACTTAGATACTTATCTAAAATGAAAAACGAAACAGGTACCGTCCATGTAGGGAGGAGGCTAACAGAATGAAGAGAATATCAAACTTTGGGAATTGAAAGATATGCACTGGAGCCCAACAGATGGCTTAATGGTTACTTTGCTGGACTCCCACATAGTCAACTGCAGTTTAAGTCCCAGACCCAGTGGCTTAAAACTCACGCCAGGCGTGTGTTCATGTGTGCCCAGATTCTGAGAGGAGAAAGGATTGCACTGTGGCTATGCCCCCTGTGGGGGTGATTTCTTGTTTTCTGTAGGGTGAGTGCACATGGCCTATGGCAAAAATTTCTCTTTAAAAAAAAAAAAGGTACATACTAAATTGGGGGGAAAAAAGCAGACAAAATGTCTCATTTACTACCACTGCAGTAATAGGGTAGTTTTAAGTGCTCATTCTTTTCTTTTACAAGTATATGTCCAGCTTAGGCCAGCAGTTTTTCCCCCATGAACAGGGTGGATTTTGGAGTCAAAAAAAAAAAAAAAGAAATTCATTCAGTTCCCCATGTAAAATTATAGCATACACATCTCACAACACTAATGACATATATTTTAAAATGAAAACTTTGAAAAACACTTTTAATTTGTGCTCTTTACAAAAAATTTAAGTATCAGAATTACAGATACCCAGACTACCAAACTGTGTGCAAAAAAGCATGTTATTTTAATTAGAGCATGCACTTGTTTTCTGTATCTATTGTATATTCATTCTGAAAGCTTCACAGAGAGCTTATTCCCTTTCAACTCAACACCTAAAGGGTACAGGTAAACTGGCTGTCAAGTCAATTCAATTACCTACACTTCAGTTTACTGATTATGGAATTTGAAGGTCAGCTCAATCTTGAGATGGCGCAGAAGATGCTTTGTGCTTTCTCAATCGATAGCTTTGACCTACGTATGGAAATCACTTGTACCAAACAGACTATTCAGACAAATTTTACATTTCTTAATCTCATCTGTCTTCTAGGGTATTTGGTATATATAAACTAACGATGGCATAAATTACCTGAGAGGAATACACAAACTAAAAGCCAACTGTTTTGCCTTTACTTGAATATTAACACTCACTTTTTTTTTTTTGGAGAGGTTTTCGCTATAGGGCACGTGCACTCGCCAGACAGACAGAGAGAGTCATAGAGACAGAAAGCGAGAAATCACCCCCCAGGGGGGATGGTCACACCGCAATCCCTTCTCCTCCTTTCTCCTCTCGGGATCTTGGGCACGCACGCACACGCACCCAGCGTTGAGTTTTAAGCCACTTGGTCGAGGACACAAACCATGGTTGACTACGTGGGAGTCCAGCGACATAGCCATTATGCCAACTGCTGGTTCCCAACACTCACTTTTCATATGCTTTTAATTACTAGCTCATGTGTTGGAATAAAAACCTGTTGGAACCATAACTTTGAATTTTGTGATTTTTGTTGAATATTCCAAGGGTTTTCTTAAAATTTGACTTGGCTCAATATACAGATGCCTTTATACATTAGTAAAACCTTTATGAAACCTAAGAACACAAACGTGGGGTTTAAGAAACTGCTGGAGGGGCTGGCAGGTGGCATGGTGGTTAGGGTGCTGGACTCCCACATGGCAGACTGTGACCGGGTGGCTTGTTTTCTCACTTTGCCTCTCTGGTCAAATTAAAAAATATTAACAAGTAAGATAAAATAATTCTTAAATAGAAAGAAAACTGCTGGCGAAAACCTGCTCAAAAGCCACAGAAGGCCCAGTCTTCACTCCTTTCTAACATACTTGTGATTTTTTTCATTTGTGTTTAAAATACAAGAAACTCCAATTATCCGTATTTCAGGTTTTTCAGTATATTAAGAAAAGTAATCTGAAAGATTTACTTTCGCTCCACTCTAGGAGCCCAAGGTACCTTACTATATAAACCGGGTATTAATGAAAATACTTTTCTAGAATTCAGTATAGAATTTAGGAATAGCATGCCAACCAAGGAAGGCTTAACACTTAACGATGTAACATTCTTACGTATTACATAAATCTATGCATTTTTATTTAGAGATTAAAGTACTCAGCAAAATTCACATTAAAAAAAATTTACTTAAAAAGACTTAAGACACCATTAAGTCAAGTCAGTACTTCAATGTAATGATTTATTTCTTTTGTCCCGAATTTTTTCCCATAATGCTGGGAGAGTTGGGAAATACATGGATGTAAATTTCTCAACCACAGAGATGCGAAGTTAGAATTTTTTGGGAAAAAATATTTTGAATTAGATCCTTACATATTTTAGGTTTTCATTAACTTACCAATGTAGTTTTATTGGAGGCCATTTTTTATTGCAGACTTGAAGAGCTATTACCAGAAAAATGCATGACAGTTAAAAGAAGTTTGCACGACACAAAAAAAGGTAGCTAAACACAAGCTTTGTTTGGATTCCAACCCCCACGTAGGTAGCGCACATTTCAAACATGGTTTGAGTTCCAGCGTAAAATACTTAGTGGTGTATGCCTGAGTGCATCAGTGTTCTAGCAAGTGAGTCTAGAAAGACGTTACTGGGGGCAATGGTACCTGAGACAGCTTTACATAGTAGAAAATAGTGGACAAATAGTTTTCCCACCCAAATTCTCTCTATATATTTTTTAAGGACAAACCTTCAGGTACAAAGTCAAACACAATTATCCAAACTCACAATGGTGCAGTACCGTTAAATGTTTTTTTCTCTAGACCTCTGAACAGTCCAAAGAGTCTCCTATACAATTCAAACTCGATTTCTAATCAGAAATCCTCTTTCCAATCAGCAGTTAGAACTAGAGGAAAAATTCTCACACTGAGACGCTTCAACCCCATTCTCTGACACTTTTTAGAAAGAGAAACCACCTTTCTCGTACCTGCTCCCCCAAGCCCAGGCCCTCCCCTCTTAACGCTGCGGTCCAGAGGCCTGAGCGCCACGCGCCTGTACCCACCCGGGAGCGCGGGCCTCGTGGTCAGCGCATCCGCGGGGAGACAAAGGCCGTGGCGCGGGGGCTCAAGGGCACTGCGCCACAGGGCCCGCGCCTGCCCCCCCGGGCGGCGGCCACGTAACGGGGTGCCCGCTGCAGCCTCAGGACAGCGGCGCGCGCCCAGGCCTTGCAAATGGGGGAAATGCACCGCCCGCCCCGGAGGCCCGGCTCGCCAACCCAGCCCGGCGTGGCGGGTGTGCGGGGGGTGGCC